AATTGATTTTTTTTTTATTATTCTAAGGATGAATATTATTTCGATTTGCGATCATATATCTATGACAAGATTGTTTATCTATTTTCATCGAACAACTCAAGATTAATTTGTTTTTATTTCGGTCATTGAAATTAATTCTTTTTTTTTGTTTTTCTCTAGGGAATTTTGATTTTGATTCCATCGTTTATTTTATTGGGTTTTGCTCAGACAAAACTAATCTTATGGTTTGGTTTAATATTTTTTTCCATTGGTAAAATACTTTAACCAGAAAAAAAACTTTGTCTTATTTTGAAATTATTTTTAGCTTCAAGTATTGTTATTAATGTCATCAATAGTTTTGCATCAAAATATGGTTTAGCAAGTGAAAAAGGTACTGTTTTAGGTATATTTAGAAGTTTACAAGCACTTGCTCGTGCCATTGGACCATTAATTGCATCGTTTGGTAATATTTTTCTTTCGTTTTTCTTTGTACCATTCTTTTTTTCTTTATAGCATATTGGTCTATTGGTGAACAGCCAACATATGTATTTGGTGGTTTATTGCTTTTATGTCCAGTTTTTATTCTTATTGATGTGCAACAACGTTTTAAACGAATGCGTCTCATGCCAACAATACTTGTGTCTGAAGTTAAAGATGATTAACAAACTCAAATAATGATCAAAAATACTTCACGAACAAAAAAAACCAAAATGCTCATATCAAATGTCACGACCTTTTTTGTTTTTTTGCTCATTCCATAAAAGGCTTTGTCTAGGTTTTTCGGTTTTGCTTTTCCTATGCTACAAAACTTGGTACTTTTTTTTCATATTGCTTTTCTTAGATAACTATTAATATATTTAAACTCTTTGATATAATAAATGTATTCTTCACGAAATAAGTGCGTATGTAACTCTGATTTAGGATTTTGTTTTTGTCTTTCTGTGTATATTCAAATACAGTTAGTTTTCCTTTCGGAAAATATTATTACGTTTATGTTTAAGTTACAACTCGTGTACAAACAGTATTGACGCAATTTGTTTTTGCGTTTTGTTTTTCTTTTCTGTTCTATATTTAGTTGAAAGAATTAGGTAGGAGGTATACGAAAGGTATAGTTGATAAAACAACTGAAGTCAATCAAGCGATTAATAATACAATGTTTTTCTGTTTATTTGTTGAATGGAAAAATTTTGTCGAAGGATATGAAGAAATTGATACGATAGAGTTAAATATTGAGAGATTGATGGAAATGGAAAATCTTTCGAACATATTTTTGTGAAAAAAACTCGATCTATTTGATAATAGAATGTTAGAAAATTTTCAAATTATACCATCATTAGATTTAGCGTATGTCTATCCAATTGAACTGAAATTTATTGCTTGATAAGTTTTTCAGAGTTTGACTTTTGAAAATTTTTTCATACATTCAGGTTTTGCTAAGGAAAGACAAATTAAAGAAATAATTTTTCTTGAAATTAGTGCATGTCACATATTGATTTTCTTCATTCTTTCCTATATTCTGCAGGACATGGTTACTGACGAGGGAACCTCTTCGGATAACCCCATCCGATTTGAATCATTCGTTTGTCTATAATTATTACATAGGATTCAAAAAAAATTCTAAAAGGATTTGAATGCCTATTGAGATTTGATTAAGCCATCGAATTTCTAATGTGTGTATTTTCTCGAAGTCTAGATAAGAGCTCAGAATTTTGGAACATGTATATTTTCGAATGTGTATCTAAAGCTTCGTGCATAAAGAGAATTCAAGTAGATTAGCTTCTATAAAAAATTCACAATTTTTGAAAAACCTGTTGGCGATATGAGGCTTTCAAGATATAGACACTTTTCCATTGATAGTGTATACAACATGAATTTTTGAGAGCTTCATATTTTATTTACAAAGTTGGAGATCTAAATTCAAAAATACAAGTTTTCCGAAAACAGCAAATCTCTAGAAAATAGGCATATTAAAAACTGGATAACTTAGTCATATCTCAATAGGAACCGAAATCATTTTAAAACTTTTATTAGAAGATTATGCAGTGTATCTACGCAAAAAAAAAGTTGAAATAAGACGAGTGATATTTGAAGAATTCATGTAAAAAAACGACAAAAAATCTGATTTTAATCGATTTTTTTCTGATAAAACATCAATTGAAATTGCACGATTTTAATCAGATTTTCTGATTATTAATCAATTTTAATTGCTATGACTATAAAACGCGTTTTTCTACGTTTTTAACTTAGAAATTCCGATTCTTTTATTATTTTTTCTGACTTATCACGTCGGTAAATGGTAAATGTGGTACAAGCCGTATCTTTGATACACTTCCATATGCGACGTCAATTCATATTTACTCGTGTAAGATAAAACGCCAATAAATTAGATGAAAATTCATTGAAATAAAGTAATTGATTAAAACCAGATTTTTTTTGTCATTTCTTTTATGTGGAAAGTTCTCTTATCATTCATGATGTTTTGCTGAATGCAAGACAGAGCATCAAAAAGTTCGTTCTGGCAGGATACATCTTGCAGGACAAGTGACTCTCTTCTGTCCTGACTGCAAAACTATCTTTTCATTGATTGTTTTGACAAGGATATGAAACCTGTCTATATATGAGATACTATTTCATATATCATAGACCCTCTCATGATACAAGAAACCATTTATAATAATCATGTTAATAAACCTTATCACATATTTTCCAGCTGAAATGAGATGAAAAATAAATACAATATTTGACATCCAAAGGGAAAGCAAAACAATAATAATACAAATATAAAGATACGGAATTTTTAGTGTAATCAATATAAATAGATGGACACCGAGAAAGAATAACTTTTGTTTTTTATTACTCCTTTCTTCAATTTTCCATCAGAGCTGAAATAAATAATGCTGTCAAATTGACTTGCTGATAAACGTATTCATCTTTGAGTCAATGTCAATCCATCTGGACTAAGTAATCTTTCTACCGAAGTACTAGTTTTTAGCGTGGCATACAATTTTCTGACATCTATTGATAATAATGGAATATTGCGACAAGTGTCACTACAAGACCAAAACTCTATTGGATCATGATCAATTAGGTTACTCAGATGTTTTGCAGGACACGCACCCTGTGATGTTCTATACTTTAAACAAACATAGAATACATACACATGTTTGCAAAAACACTTAGAAACATTCTTTCATAGATATCACCTTATTTACAAGTGCTCTTCGAATTGTTTTATATTGTAATAGATAGTCCACAAAGAGTACTATACAACAGTATAATTTCATATTCTCTTTCTTCACTGCCAGAAGAGATATTATAGAAATATCTCGTTTTCTTGGACATAGCAGAATTATTTGTAATGGATATTTCAACTTTTTCGACTTTTCACCTGAAAAATGTTGAAGTTCACCAGTCTTTTTTTAGGGTGTGGGTGTAGGGTGTGAAGTATGGGGAGGGGGGAGGGTGTACACCCTCCAATAGTAGAAAATTTTCAACTGTTTTCATTGACAACAGTAGATCTTCTGTACATTTTGCCGCTTTTGTGCGAGATTTCGTTGCAAATATTACCTTTACACCCCCTCAAAAAACTTCTCACACTCCCTAATTTTAGGCCCTTCGCATGACCTTTACCCACACCCACATCCTAAAAAAAGACTGATGAACTCCAACATTTTTCAGGTGAAAAGTCGACAAAGTTGAAATATCCATTACAAATAATTATGCTAGGTCTAAGAAAACGAGATATTTGTATAATATCTCTTCTAGAAGTGAATAAAGAGAATATGAAATTATACGGTTGTATAGTACTTTTCGTGGACTCTATCACAATATATAACAATTCAAAGAGCACTTGTAAATAACATGATATCTGTGGAAGATGGTTTCCAAGTTTTTTTCAAACAACTGTAGCTCACTAAATCAATAAAAGAAAAGCACAATCAAATCTATGTTTTTTAAAGTCTGCTGTGCCATCCATGACTCAATCAGACATGTTGTGTTAAAATAAAATTATGTCTTTCTAAAACCGTCTTTGTTTTCTTTCTTCAAAGTTTTCGATTTGAACGATAGAATTTTAATTCTTTACTTGGACATCTAAAGTAAATTATGTAACAAGTCAAACAAATTACAAGTCAAGATTGTCTAACCTGTTGATGAATGTTAACACTTTGATATTAGTAGTATTTCAACAATAAAAAGTAAAGAAAGAAACAGTTTCTGTATTTATACCATGTTATATTTAAACTTGTTGTCAATTAGTTATTAAAAAGTATTTTGTATTGCTTTCAAAGTATCATGCAAATTTCTTTAAAGAATTCAACAAAAAAATTGCATTTTGTAACATCTCTCTAATCCTTCCTAACTTTGTATTGGTATCAAACGCTATAATAAATATTTGAAACATTGATTTTGATTGGAAGAACAGATAACGATTATACAAAAAATTAATTGCGGCGATATGCTCAATAGTAAGGTTTCACGGTAGTCTACTCCAATAATAATGTGAAAATGAGCGAAATGTAATAGATATTCTTTTATTCAATGCTATTTAAAAAGATTTGCTTTTTGCATGAAATGAAAAAAATATTATAGTAAAATGTATAAAGATTCAAAGTCTCGTATGCTTCTAATAATAAACTAGTTCATGATGAATTTAATTAACAACTTAATAAGAGTTTTTCAAATATGCATAAATACCGTGTCATAAAATTTCACTTTGGAGCGATTTCATGACTCAGACATGTTATTTAATCAATTTTATCACTGTAAAACACTCGTTCGAAGGAACATTTTAATGAATATTAATAGTAAAAATATCAACTCAAATAAATCTTAAATATTTTCAAAGATTCTTTATCAATTTGAAAATTTTTACAAAGAATATACTTTTTTGAAATCTATTGTAACGAAATACTTATATTCAGATTGATGTTATTAAAATAAATTGAATAAATGAATTAAATTTATTTCTGTTTCATGAATAGAACTCTCGAGCAAAGGAAGTGTATTAGGTCTTGTTTTTATTAATCATGTGATTCTGATGATACAACAGGAATTTTAGGTATTTGTTTTGGTTCATGACGAAGACGAACAGTAACAGTATTTTCATTATTAGTTGAAAATGATGTTGCACTAATACGTCGAGATGAATTCGAACTATAGTCTTTCGATAATTTTTTATTTGTCGATGATGAACTTGATCTAATAGCAAAATCTTTTTTATCAAGATAATTATTTGAACTAGAAAATCAAATAAATAATATTTTTTATTTCGTTTCAATAAAAGCTTTTTTTTTTATTACTGTATATCGATTTGTTGTTTTTTATGATTACTGGGTATACGAGGATGATTAGGTTTTTTAGAAGTAAAATAACCTGTATTTAATGAACGAGCTGTTGGACGTGGAGTTTTCAAAAATTTTGCATATGTAAAATAATCTCTTGGATCATTTAAACCTAAATAAGAAAAATGGATCAAATGAAAATGCGCAGTTTGAATTTTTCTTCTTTTTTTAAATATATTTTATATATTTGTTAGTTTACTTACGAAATTCGGGTTTGCAGAGTAAATCTATAATAAAGAATTATAACACAAAGAAACAAAAAGAACATTCCAGTGTATAACAAAAAACAACGCAAATCAAGTGAAAATTCTCGTGCTGATATAAATTGAAACATATTTTCTTTCTTACCAAGTTTATATGCAGGTAAATCTATGGTATTCTATCGATTTAGACAAATGAAATAAATAATTCATTAATATACCTGCATTAAAACGTCTAGTTAAAACTTGTACATAAGCATTTGTATGACGTGCTTTCGTATCTCCCATGTCATAAATCTAAAATTTTAATAAAATAACAAAAGCAAAAAGATAAACTTTTTCTCTTTTATTTACATGACATTTTTCTAATAAATATAATTTTTGACCATGTGTTAATGCCGGATTACGATAGATTCCACTTTGTCTCCAACGTTTATTTGATGGTTCTTTAATATGAAATTGTTGTAAACCAAGTTTAGGTCGTTGTGATTTTTCTACAACATAATGGTAATATTGCCAAAGTGATTCAGCAAATGTTGGATCAGTTTGACATTCATCAATCAGTTTATCATAGGTGCCTGAAGCAGATTGAGAACGACGATGAGGTGATGATGAAAGATTTCGTTTTTTATGAAATGGTCTAGCTGTTTGTGGTCGACCTTATTATCAGAAAAATTTGATATTTTATTCAAAAGAAAATGAAAGAAAATGATACTAACGAGATCGTAGCGTCATATTTGTTTCAATAATAGGTTGATCTGTTGTATTGTCAACTGAGTGTGAACCTTTACACATACGATTATGCCAATATTTGTTTTGACCCTGAATAATTTAAGAAAAAGAAGAAAAACGAAGACCAACAACAAACAACACCGAATGCTAACTGTAAACATACTTTCGAAATGTCGATAAGGATCAACCGGTATTCTTGGTAATAGAAGTTTACTATAAGAAGATTTTTTTAATCTTTTTTCTCAAGTAAATATTTTTTTATAATTATCAACAAACTGTGAATGTTTTGATTTTGGTTCTTGTTCAGATTCAAGAATAGCTTCGTAAAATGTTTTATAATCTTCTTCAGATGGACGTGTAGTTTCTTTCGGTAAAATTTTTCCGCGTAAATGTGACTAAAAGTTAAATAAAAAAATGAATAAAAAATAGAATCTCATTAATTTATATTTCATCTTTCCATACAAATTTATATCGTTGATTGAGTAAAATTAAACCTGTACTTGTGTTTGATATATCATAGAAGCCAGCAAATGGACTGGAATAAGGCCATTCATTCTGTGTTGAGTAGCTTGCTCTATGTATTATTATTATTATTATGCATTTATAAGGTTGCTACTTATTATGTGTGAAAATGAAACGCAGAAAAAAAAAGAAAAAAGAAATTGAATATATTATTTACCGGGAAAATAATTTCAAGTATTCTTCACGTGTCTTACCGGGTCCGATACCCGTATAAGATTCGTTAAGTCTGCCCAATTGTCGAAATATTGTTTCTGTCGACATACGTTTCTCCTTTCCTTCCAATGGCTCCTGTCAACAAGCAAGAAACAGCAATATGATTATTTTTTTCAATTAACTTCAATCTTTTTTTTATGATCTACGTCGAATGACGTTTCTTTTTACTCGTAACTGTTGTTTTTCTTTTACTTGACAAAGAAAATTTTGTTCGATGAGAACTTGTCGATTGATCGTTGTATCGAAAGAAAAAGTGTTGGACAATTCAATGTGCGTAGAAATGCCATTAAGAGCATACATGTGTGAATGTGCGAAGCACTTCAAGTATTGGTAGGGGCGGACATATGTAATATATTTCATTTTTCTTCGTTTTTTTTTTCTTCAAGTAAAATGCAATTAAAAACGGAAATCAAAGTTATAAAACACGGAAGACAAAAAAACACTAATACGAAAAATTTCTATGCATAACTAGTTGGTGTTCGAGATAATATTTCGAATTTACAATCTGATTTATTATTATCATCGCGTTCATTTTCATTGTGAATTATATAACTATCATAATCAGATGGTTGACGATATATCAGAAAGACAAGCATTGTTAAAATAATTATAAATAAAAACATAGCTGGAACAAATATAGCTACAAATATTTGAGCATTAAACTGCCCATTAAATAGTTGATTATCATTGGTTGAAGTCGACATTGATTGAAAATACTTGATGCATAATCCGTAAGAATATGGTGAATCTTTAAAAAAAAGTACAAAAGAAAAGCAAAATAACAAACCTTGATAAATTTTTATGTGATATTTACTTTGTCGAAAGCTTTTGTTGCTCGTAGGTTGAAATTTTTATTCACGTAGTTATAGTTGAATCTTTATCAAAAAGAAATAGAATAGTATTCAATTGAATTAATATTCAAGCTGAAGTGAACTATATAAAAATCGTTTAATCGATGGGAAGAATAAATAGTTCTAGGACGTAAATTTTGAAAAATGATATTGACTACAACATTTGTACATGCATCGTATACATGATTATATGTGACATTCTTTTGATTTAATCGATTATATTCTTTCTCTTTCTCTCTTTCCTTCATCATCATCCTCTCCAATAGAAAGATGAATTCTTTTTTATTCTTGTTCAATATACATGAATCGCTACGTAACTACCACTCAGAGTAGATTATTTCTTATTTGACTCAGTCAATTCATTCACTCAAGTCTCATGCCAATCATAACCGATCTTCATCCATATACACAATCACATATATATATATAGCAAGTAGAACAACAAAAAAAGAAAAACGAGAAAAAAAAAGAGGCTTTATAGACCAAGGTTATAAAAGAAAAAAAAACACGTGTGGATGTATAGTTTTACACTTCTGTACATATTTTATGACTAGTCGAACTAATATTTGGTCGTTCTACAATTGTCAATGATTTGGAATGCGACATTGTTGACCTTGCCGATGGAACTGATGATGGATTTAGAATTACCGCAGATGAATGTTTTCGTCTTGGTAATGGATCTGAATTTCCATCGAAACTAACATGATCACCATTCATACTAATAGGACGAAGATTCGTCATTGAATTTGATTGTAAAATAAAACTACCCCTTGGTGTTGTTACTATTGAACCAGGTCGTTTTTTCCGTGCTATAGAAGATTTTCGTCGTACAACAGGTAAATGATTAGGTGTTTGATTTATTGCATTAATATCATATAAGCGTGCCAGTAAATGACGTTTTCGATGTTCAATTACAATAACACAAACTCGATAGAATTGTAATAGAACAACAAGAAAATTTTTGGTCGTAAAAAATACATTTGATTGTGAAATTATTTTATAATGAATTATTAAACCAAGACGAAGACAAAGGAATGGACCATCTTGTAAAAGAATTGTAGTTGACAGAGCCTAATATATAATTATGTTAATTTAATTTCTTTTGTAAAAGAAAAACAATAAAAAAAATAAAAAAAATTTTACCCATAGTTCAGTTTCCCAAAATAATCGACAACCAAAACATGTTTCAATTTCTTTTGAATCTGTTCGTCCAAAAACTACTGTACGTTTTTTACGTGTTTTTGTTGATGTAACAACAAGTGTGAATTGCATTAAACTTATTGACCAAGCTGTTAAAATAAGATGTATTATAGTTAGATTACGTTGAACATCATGTTCTTTAAATGCTTCAAATAATTCAATTATATCCGCTGTTTAAAATAAATGAAAACTAACGAAACAAACACGAAACATGAAAAACAATTTTACCTGCTGTACCAATATAGACAAGTAATAATTGAGAAAGTTGATCACGTGTCATTGTTTTTCCGACGGGTAATAACCAACGTCCAATAATAAGAACAAGAAGAAGTGTTTGTTCAACAATTTGTGTCCACATTTCAGCTGGAATTTTCCATGGAACGAGCTATTTTAGAAAATAATACAATGTATAAATTATTATAAAAAAAAGAAATACGATAGAAATTTTTTTATTTTTTTTTACTGGTATTGTATCTTCAGTATCAAGATGAGTAATTCCTTGTGATACCGGAATTAAACCAAGTACTTGTGTTACATTAAATTTTGATCGTCTTTCGGCAAGATCAAGTTCAAGAAACCATACACTTGGTATAACAGTACATAAATAAAAGAATACGGATGGACAAAACCTAAAATTGATAAGACAATGATCAATAAAATCAACATATTCAATCCATGATTACCATTTCCATTCGTGACCATTATTAACATAGAGTGTAACGAAAAATTCAGCCGGGATACCAAAAAGACTTCATACGTAGAAGAAAGAAAAAAACGAATTAAGTAAAAAAACAAAGCTTTTTCGTTTTATATTCTACGTGATAGCTTGAAACCAATATTTGTTTTGTTTATATACTAATGCTACTCGCCAAATAGCTGCAATGCCATGAATAGCAAATAGTATTCGAGCCGCTGCTGCCGCTGTAATGGCAACAAATTCGGACATAATCCACTAGAAAAAAGAAGCAAATTAAACTTTTGATTTTTTACTACTACGAATTAGAAGTGTTCAAGCTAGATCAGCTAAATCAATCAATATCAGAATAGTATCCAAAAAAGGAGAAAGAAAAGAATAGATATTAGATATGATTTGTCCAAACAAAAAGATAATGAGAACAGATTACATCATATTGATTAGGAAGAAAATGTCTTACTTTTGCATTCTTAGAACGTGAACGATATTTTGATATTTTTCTAGCCATGACGCCATTGACAACGAATAATTAAATTTTATAATACTTCTTTTTCAATATATACCAAACTGAGGACAAAAAGGAAGTATCCATGTACAACAGGTCGTCAGACTAACTTTATCGAATGTTACTGTTTTTGCATATACTAATGGGATAGATCAAAACATGTCTGTTGAAGCTATCATATAGAATATATACCCATTGTATCCATGAATATGTAATGTCTTTCCCCTATTTTTTTTCTTTTTTTTTCGTAATGGGATTATCGGTATAAAAAAATAGGACGATGTATCTATCATATATAAGTAGAGAAATCTTATTCACCTACCTATTACATATTATTCATGACTGATCTTGTTGTTGATTCAGAAATTCTATTCAACCCAAATGCTTTTTTTTTATCGGGTCAGTTGAATATCTATACAAAATATATTTTCGCCCGACCATTATGATTCACATAATACATTCACTAATTAATCTACTTCATCTATTCCTCATTGTTACATATGCTCATGTGTATGCACACACTTGATTAATTTCAGTAGAGCATGTCCGAATCGTACAATGTTGTTCTAACATAAAGTATCCGACAAGAGTACTTATTCTTTTCTTGTACTTTTTTATTGCTTGTATACTTCTCTCTCTCTGTATTTGTGTACATATCAGTTCGAATACAAGCATTAGTACATACTTAATCGGATGACGGCATCTGACAATCATGATCAACTGATCTTTTCATTCTATTGTAAGGATATTGATGATATCTTATGACCTCAGAAACAAAGAACCAAAAGTTTAACAAGTCTCTGTTTTATTTATTATTATTATTATTATTATTATTATTAAAGATTGTTGGATACATTGTCATCTGTGTTCTATAAACAGATGGTGATCGAATAACTTACTGATAAAGGATGTTGCTTATCTTGAAGTAAATGTTGATCAATAGTTGGAATGGATTGAAATAATGTTCCTCGACGCAAGCGCATTCTAATAGTTTCTTTTTAGTGTCAATTATAATGTAATAATCACTAACAATGTTTGCATTTTTCGTGTGCAAACTCTATTTTCTCAATTTATTCATCATCAAACAATGAAATATTCTAATAAATGAGAAAAAAAAAGATTGAATACATTTATGGATGTAATAAGAAAAAAAAGTAATTCTGAATCAATTGCTTTTCTTAGCATGTTGTTTGTGTCGAGTACAAAAAGTGAACAAATATAAGAGCAGATGGAAAGATGTACCAAATAATAGCAAACAATGATTTATTAGATCCATCAAATAGTTGTAAGGGTACTTGACAAGGAATCATAAGATATCAGTCATTTATTCATTGAAATCTAATGCTGATTCTTATCAGATTCTTGAACTAATCTAGTTTGCTTGTTTTCGTATTTGTTGTCACTGTTTGATAGAATAATAATTTACGTTACTTATTTTACATATGTTCGATAAATGATAATTTGAAGATAGCTATTTCATATTGGAAAAAACATCACATCTATCAGAAGGATGAAAATTTTGATAGAAATTTTAGTGTTGCCGACAATTTTTCATGTAAATCTACTGGTTTAGATTCCAACTTTTCAAGAAATTAATTAATTTAAGACAGTCTTCTATTATGAGGAACTTTTTATTGCGATGAGAAGTTAAATTTATTTTAACATTACTTCAAATAACAGTATGATGATTATTCAAAGATTGTTCTAGATAAAAAGTAGCGTTGCATGCAATCATAAGGACGGAACAAAGATATTTTACTCAAATGAGAAATAAAAAGAATTCGAATTTTATCAAAATATAAAAGTAGATGTAGCAACTAAGCACATTTTACATAAATGAGAAGATTTGATGGTCTAATTAACTAATATAAAATAATACTAAGTAAAGGCTCATTCTATAATATTAATATGATAAAATTAAGGTATTTTATTATATGAGGTCAGAGACTGTTTTCTTGTAAACATAATCAATCGAACATGCAGACAATTCTATACATGTCAATAAATAAAATAAAATTCACTCATGAATTGAGTTTAACAAAAAAATATATAGCATCAGATTCATTAGTATGATCGAATATAAACTGCAAATATCAATGTTGATAAAACAGTGTACTGTCTGAGTGTTTTATTTGATCCTCATGATGATAGAATACATTTTATATTTGATGTTATGAAGTGAATGGAAAAGTACGCCGTAAACCAATAACTTTTTGTTCATCAATAAATAATGAATTATTTTTAATAGCTAAATCTTCTTCAATAGTTGCTTTAAGACGAAATAAATGTTGTAAAATATATTCTTCTTCGAATAATTTTTTCTGTAAATTATCAATGGAATAGTTCAAATTATTAAATTCTTCAGAAAGTTTTGAATATTCACGATCATTTATATTTTCTAATACTGGCTTCATAGAAAGAAAAGATATTCGACATTGAATTATATTAATAAAAACTTCTTTATCTTGAATTGTTTTTTTCAAAAATTCAATCATTTTTTCTGTATTTAAAATCTTTTCATTAATTTCATTGAATTGATCTTGTAAACGATTACGAACACATTGTATTTCATGAATACGTTGTTCCAATACTATACCAACAGTTTGCCATTGATCAAAAATATTTTGTTCAATATGAAAGAAATTTTTTACTGAATGAATTAATTCATTTGATGTTTGAATTTCACAATAGGTTTGTTCAACAACAGTCTTCGTATGTTTCAACCAATTTAAATAAGTGATACCTCCTATCAATAATCAAAAACATAATATATCGCGTGTAACAAAAACGTTGATCTTTTTTTTTTCAAGAAATGCACTTTTGAATGCTCTACCCGGATCACAAGATTAAATCTTTGCTTTCAAAATATATATAACGTGCTAAGACTGAATATATTTGTCATCGTGCTATTGGACATAGAAAAAATCGGAAAAGTCCATTTTGCGATTATGAACTAAGATCATTTTTACTCTAATTAATGCTAGATTAAATGAACTGATCCAAGTATAGTAAAAAGCTAAAGTACTCCTCACTCCATCAATACTTGCTATGAGCAAAGATGAAACGAATACTAGACTAGTTCTATCTCTGTCTGCGAGATCAGTACTGATTTTTCCTCGAAGTATTTTCCTTATCCTCAGTTGAAGACAAGTTCTCATTACATTATGTTGTTAAGCTTCATTCATTTTTACTGTTTCTTTCAACAGTCAAGCAAGTTTAATCTAGCGATTTGTGCATCGAACTCACTGTTTTTAGATAATGTATTTATAGTGGAGATCTGGATGTTTAATAATCATTATGCATTGAAAACGACATTGGGTCTCTAATTGATTCCAAACATTATAGTGAAAATGAATGAACAAAATTTAACAAATTTTGGCTTTCTTTTATTTTCCTTGTGGGACGTAACATGATGAAACACGTGTTCAGTATAAACAATTTATTAAAATTTCGAAAATGGAGAGTTAATCATGTGATCCGAATAGAACATTTAATGGTGAATCCTTTGAAAAAAAAAACAATAACTGTTGTTTGCAGGTTCCTTAACAGAATCGCATGCAAAATGAAAAATATCGCAAAACTTTTGCCACACCTTGTATATCTTTTTCTTCTCATAAAATAAATGTTCTAACCTGAAAAACTATTTTTACAATTACTAAAACATGGTAATGTATTGGTTAAATAAAGTGTAGCATTTTCTAATATAAGAGCATAAGATTTATTGTTTGCTTCGATATCCAGTTGACATAGTCTTTCTCGATTTAAATGAATTTGTTTATTAATTCTTTCAATCATGCCATTGTCAATAGAGTTTTTTGCATCAATAAGAATATCGATTAATTTGATTAATTCACGATCTACATTATCATGAATAAGATCAATAGTTTGACGTTTTTCACGTTCATATAAATTTTCTTGAACTATTTTAAGTCTTGATGCTGTACGATTTAGAAAATACTCTATTTGTTGTCGTTTTACTTCTAATTCATTAATAGTATCATTTAATTTTTGACGTAATTTTTCAATTTCATTTTTCCAAAAACTGATTTCTTGTTTGATGCTGTACACAAAAGAAAAAAGAAGAAAATAGTTCATTTCACATATTATTGATCATCAATTAAATATTCATACATCAAAATTTCATTTGTAGATTTCCATTGATTTGCACAAACTTGTTTGTCTATTTCACAAGCTAAAAGGTCACTTTCTTTAGTTAGTTTTTGACTATCATTTAAAATTTCATTAGCATTTGTAAATTGGTTACATTCAAAATTCGACCAATCTTTTGGTGTATAACGAGTATAGAGAGATGCTTTTGCACTAGTAAACAATGGTGGTATATTAATTGGATCAAGATTTTTCAAAATATTGCATCTGTTTGATGAATCTGTCTACATTTAAAAAATATTATAATTATAGAAAAGAGAGAATAATTATCTACAGCAAAATTGACGATTGTACTTTGATTACTGTTCACTAAATAGGAAGGTAAATTATTTGATTGACATAAATTTATTGAATTTTGATTATAGAACAATGGTATTGATGAATCAGATTGATTACATTCATTATTTCTTGACTGATGTATGTACATTTTTAATCAACTATGATAAGAAACTAGAGTCAATGAAAGAACATTTAATTTTCTGTAATTTACTTTTTGATCTGTTACACGTTAATTTACTGCTTGATAGGCGAAGCATCTAGTATATTTACACTCAACAATAATGATTCATGTTTCTTACACAAATACGAAAGTAGTAATGGCGCCTAAATTTATCTATTTATATAAATTTGTGTTTTTATATGATTAACGCATATTTTTCTATTGTAAGATAAAAGTTAATTAGCAAAATTGGACTTATATCACTATCTGATTAGAGAGTTGTCAATATTGATCATACAAAGTTCTGATTATTTTCTTTGTCTTGACAACTGTAACTACTGTTTTATAGCAACAGTCAGCAGAACAAAAAAAACCCTAATAAACAAAATTCCATAAATATTAAAGAAAAGAAAAAGCATTCCAAAAAAAAAAATGTTTTTTTTTTTATTGTAGATCACACTTTAAATTTTAATGGGATTCTGTTAAGTCATTGTTTTACTCCAATTGATTGGAGTATCGGCTAGTATAGCTCGCTCAACATGCCATCGATGCATACGATTCCATTGATCATATTCCCATTTATTTTCCATTAACTAAAATAACAGAAATGACATTATACTTTACGTTTATAAAAAAAAGCTTTTTTCCAACTTCTTTATTTTTAGCAGTAAATTGTAATAAAAATTTAGCTCGTTCAATTTGTTTTTGTTTTTCTTGTTCTATATATTGTCGATCTTGTTCAATAACGATTTCAGTTGCACGATTTTTCATTTCTAATTCAAATTTGTCTGCTTGAACTTTTTGTTCCATTTGTTCTTTGAGTGTTGATCGAATTTGTTTACTTAATATAATGAACAGAAATTAAATAAGAAAAAAAAATAATCATAAAAAGAAGAGAAAATAACTCTAGCAATAAATATTTACTTGTACATTTCACGTTCTTCTGTATGTGAATATGGATAAATAGTATATTGCATATGTTGCTGATTCCATTGTCGTTGTTGCATAGCTTGTACTCGTTTATAATTATGATAATGTCTATCTTGAGTTTCAAACATTGTTGTCATTTTGAGTGGCTCATCAGGTCGACTAGCAATAATACGTTGGGGTGCTACATAAAAATCATATTGATGACGTATATCTTCACGTTGTACAGGCTCCCATAGATAATCATAATCAGGTTGTTCACGAACTAATGGTTTCCAAATTGAATTCAATGTTTGTACATTCGTTGTTTTTGGATGTGGTAATTGTTTTAAAGTTTCATCTGATCGAGCAACAATATTTATTTTTGGCGTACGTATATGTGCCGATGGAACTGTACTTCGTATTGGTGATGATGAGGACAATTTACGTGAGTTATGTCTTGATAAGAAT